GTCCCTGTCTCTGTCCCTGTCCCTGTCTCTGTCTCTGTCTCTGTCTCTGTCTCTGTCTCTGTCTCTGTCTCTGTCTCTGTCTCTGTCTCTGTCTCTGTCTCTGTCTCTGTGGACATTCAGACTGAGAAGTTTGACTCCCTGTGAGTCGAGGGGGATTTTTTACTTTATTTTTCATGACGTCACCTCTTTGTGCTTCTGCTCTGTCACTCTGCTCCTGATCTGGTTTTGTGGAAGGAAGAGGACTCTCATTAAAACCTGTTAGTTGAAGACCCACAGAGGGGACAGAAAGTGGGACAAATGGGATCAGAAAAGGACTCCGAATCGTCCCACTCCTCGGTGAGTGGCGTCCCAAAGTGCCATGAAGCTGGTAAACGGAGACGGATCCCCTTCCACAGCCTCTTCCACAGGAAGCGGGGGTCCCGGGGCAGCAGGGGCTCCAAAGGAGGAGCGGCCCCACCTTTAGCGCAGCAGCCGCACCCGTCCGCCTTGACTTCACCGCCCGCCGCTGCCTCCGCGACCCCCGCGGCCGCCGACAAGGACGCGGCCTGCAGCGCCCCGTCCAGGCTGCTGTCCTCCAGCCGGCCGTCCCTGGCCTCGGGGGAGCCCGACCTCCTGGAGTGCCCCCTGTGCCTGGTGCGTCAGCCCGCCGAGCAGCTGCCTGAGCTGCTGGGCTGCAGCCACCGCTCCTGCCTCTGCTGCCTCCGCCAGTACCTCCGCATCGAGATCACCGAGAGCCGCGTGCAGCTCAGCTGCCCCGAGTGCGCCGAGCGGCTGGCGCCCCGGCAGGTGGCCGACATCCTGGACGACGCGGCGCTGCTGGAGAAGTACGAGGAGTTCCTGCTGAGGAGGTGCCTCGCCTCCGACCCGGACTGCAGGTGGTGCCCGGCGCCGGACTGCGGGTAAGAGCTGAACACACGCACGTCTGGTAACAAGAACTTTATCTTTTTATTTTATCAGTATTAAGTAATATTAAGTTCTTCTTTTCTACTGAAGTGATTTAAAAAAAGAACTTTATCTTTAATGACATTATTTAAGTTTTCTGTACAGAACCTTCAGGTAATTACAGAAGCTGTTGCAATAAAAGCAGCACTTTTAGAAGAAATTTAAACTAATTTAAACATACTGTATTTCATTTTATGTGATAGTGCTTTGAGTATGTGTTGAGGGTAACTCTCAGCTAACTCCACACCAAATTTTACCTCAAAATCAGTAAAACTGAAAGAGTTAAAGCCATTTTTGTATTGGGTAATGATGATTGGCTGCGGCAGCCGTATTAAATCAGATTGACTCCAAAGTTTAATCAGTTGTAAACGTTCATCCGATAAGTACTAACCGAGAGTTTTATTAAAAACAATGCAGTCATTCATGAGATATTTTGCTAACAGACAAACAATGTTGACATCAATGTTTAATTTCTTTAAGTTTTAGGGCAAAGTTTGTGCAATGTGTAGAGCTCAGATGTRTTGGGAATGACTCTCAGCTACTACCCTACCAAATGTTAGGGCATAATGCAAAAATCTGAACAAGTTATAGAAAATTCTTACATTTTGTAAATCAGTTGGCTGTGGCAGTCTTGTTGAATTGGACTGACTCCAAAAGTTAATCAGTTCTAGATGTAGATTCATTAATTATACCCTGAAAGTTTCATAATAATCCATCCACTGATTCATGAGATATTTTGCTAACAGACACTGAAGCGAACGTGCACAGAATGGTGAATCAGCGTGCCCAGAGGAGCAGCTGCAGGGCTGGAACTCGGTTTTATGATCAGATCATGAATTATTTGCAAGGAGCCGCCCGTCCAGACCCATCTGGACCCATCTGGACCCATCTGGGCCACTTTCAGGACTTCCTCCTGAGATTTTCGTCCCAACGTAAAGGGACTTTTTGTGAATAAGAAAAAAAAAAAAAAAAAAAAAAGGAGACCGTAACGTGAGAAAGTAAAAAAAACTGCGAGTGAGGTTTTTTTTTTTTATGTTTGAGAAAGTTGAAAGCGGAACGACGTGGTGAGATTGTAAATCTGTAAGTGGGTTAGAAGGCTGTGGTTGGAGAGACGCAGCTCCGTTTCTGGAACAGATGAGAGGCGTTTGTTTCGACATGAAGACCAGGAGTGATTCATTGTCTTGGTGTTTGTGTGATGAGGAGGTGAGGAAGAGGGCCGGACCATAATTCTGCTTTGTTTTGATTCAAAAACAGCAGCAGCTGAAGTCTGACTTCATGTGTTTCTGCTGTACTTGTACACATGTTCAAAAAGATTAAAAACTTTAGCTTCAAAACTGAAGCTGGTAAAAACTAAAAGTTTTTTGCGAAAACACAGTGAAAATGCTGAAGAAGCTCATACTAAGTTGTTCGAGCTAAAAGGAGCAGTATACAAGCTAACAGCTAAAAGTAGCAAATTGTTAGGCAACAAAAAGATAGCATTAATTAAAAGTAGCAGAAGGTTAGCTTCATGCTAAAAGCAGCCAAATGTATATTATTAGCTAAAAGCAACAAAAGGCTAGCATAAACTAAAAGTAGCAGGAGGCTAGCTTCATGCTAAAATCAGCCAAATTTATATTATTAGCTAAAAGCAACAAAAGGTTTGCCATAAGCTAAAAGTAGCAGAAGGCTAGCTAGCTTCATGCTAAGAGCAGCCAAATGTATTCTATAAGCTAAAAGCAATGAAAGCAATGCTATAAGCTAGAAGAAGGCTAGCTTAATGCTAAAAGCAGCCAAATGTACATTATAGGCTAAAAGCAACAAAAGGCTAGCATAAACTAAAAGTAGCAGGAGGCTAGCTTCATGCTAAAAGCAGCCATATGTATATTATTAGCTAAAAGCGACAAAAGGTTTGCCATAAGCTAAAAGTAGCAGAAGGCTAGCTTCATGCTAAAATCAGACAAATGTATAAGCTAAAAGCAACAAAAGGTTTGCCATAATTTAAAAGCAGAAGGGGGGCTAGCTTCATGCTAAAAGCAGCCAAATGTGCATCATAAGCTAAAAACAGGATAGGTTTCCCATAGGCTAAAAGCAGAAGAAGGCTAGCTTCATGCTAAAAGCAGCCAAATATATTCCATATAAGCTTAAAACATCGAAAAATTTGCCTTAAACTAGAAGCAGCAAAAGATAAGCTATAAACTAAAAGCAACAAAAGGCTAGCATGARCTAAAAGTAGCAGAAGGCTAAATTTAAGCTAAAAGTAGCAAAAGATAAACTAGAAGCTATAAATATCAAATTGTTAGAATTAGTCAACAAGAAGCAAAAAGCTAGCCTAAGCTAAAACAAGAAAAGTTTTGCTATAAGCTAAAGTAGCAGAAGACTAACTTTAAGCTAAAGGCAGAGAGAGGTAGTTATAAACAAAAAACAGCAAAAAGCTAAAAAAAAAAAAACAGCAAAACTATATCTAAGCGTGGCTTATGGGTGGCTAAAGCTAAAAGTAACAACATGTTACAATTGGGTAACAAGCTACCTAAGGCTAGCACAAGCTAAAAGCAGCAGAGGGGTAGCTACAAGATAAACTGTCTGGCTAAAGCTACAAGTGGTAAAATGGTACTGAACTTACAGAGCGCTTTTCAAGTCCCTCCGGACCCCAAAGTGCTTTACACTAACAGACATTCACCCATTCACACTCACATTCACACACTGATAATGGCAAACTGCGTATCTCTGGAGTTAAGATGTTTGTTTAAAGTTAAAATAATCTGATGCTTTAATAGGACATGGTTGACACATTTCTCACGGTACAATCTTTTATTTAAAAGTTCTGAGATTTGTTTTAATATTTCCACAATCAGACGTGTCGTGTCGGCCGGCRCGTCCCTTTTTCTGTTCTTTGTGTTTACAGAGTGAGTCATCCGTGAGTGAGGACAGAACTGAGCCTCTGAGGACATTTCTTTAAAGGACTGTGTAAATATTAGCTCGAGTAGATCATGTACTCGCATAGCAAACAATCCAGTTTCCTACTTCTAGGGTGATTTTACTTTTTAGGCAGTTGATGCAATTATCCCTCTTTGAATGAGTTTAAACCTGGGTATTTTGAGATTAAATTTGGGTATTTTGAGTTTAAACCTGGGTATTTTGAGATTAAATTTGGGTATTTTGAGTTTAAACCTGGGTATTTTGAGA